TCGACACTGAAAATAAACAAATAGAAAATTTCAAAATACTTTTCAAGCTGGTGTGAGCCATGGGGAACAGCTCATCTTCATGTCCGTTAACTTACGCAAACTAGCGGTAACCGTATACTTTTTCTTGCAAGTCACCCCCCCCCCCAAACCCAATCCTAAATTTCATTTTTTTAAAACAAAACAAAACATGCAGACTAATCGACACTGAAAATAAACAAATAGAAAAAAACACAGGATCCAAGTGGTGATATGATGAGCTGAACACGGACCATTTGGAGAGGTTGAGAGCTCAACGAGCAGTGGAGATACGAATGAAAGCTTCAGGAGCAGTGTAGATACAAATGAGAGGTTCAGGGGCAGTGTAGATACGAATAAGAGCCTTAGGAGGAGCAGTATAGATACGAATGAGAGCTTAAGGAGCAGTGTAGATGCGAATGAGAGCTTTAGGGGCAGTTTAGATACGAAGGAGAGCTTCAGGAGCAGTGTAGATGCAATTAAGAGCCTTAGGAGCAGTATAGATACAAATGAGAGCTTAAGGAGCAGTGTAGATGCGAATAAGAGCTTCAGGAGCAGTGTAGATACAAATGAGAGGTTCAGGAGCAGTGTAGATACGAATAAGAGCCTTAGGAGCAGTGTAGATACAAATGAGAGCTTCAGGAGCAGTGTAGATACAAATGAGAGCTTCAGGGGCAGAATAGATACAAATGAGAGGTTCACTGATGGCCTACAAAACTGACCCTTAGTGGACACTGATGGCCAACAAAACTGACCCCTTGTGGACACTGATGGCCAACAAAACTGACCCCTAGTGGACACTGATAGCCAACAAAACACTGTCCGCTTGTGTACACTGATGGCCTACAAAACTGACCCCTAGTGGACACTGATGGCCAACCCAACAATCTGGTCACACGGGTGTGACTCGTCTATTGTGCATCACCTGTGTAGTTCCATAGATCACAATGGGATGATGGTGTAGACTTGTCACAATGGGACGATGGTGTAGACTTGTCACAATGGGATGATGGTGTAGACTTCGCAGGACGAAATCCACCCGGCCTGGGATTAATCTTTTTAGGATTATAAGCTGGTTCCCTAAACAGCAAATGTCCTCTCTCCGCTTCGCTGGATAACCCAAGGGAACATCAAGTGTGGATGATACAGCTTGGCACCAGTGGCGTCGCAGGCGTTGCCGGCATGTTTCGCGGGGGAAGCTTTGCACATATTGTGTTAATTGTGTGCCAATCTTGACAGTATGATCACATAATGCATTTTCTTGCATCCCCTCTGAGGAACCAGAGGCGTAACTAAAGGGGGGCAGGGGAAACTGATGTCCCTGGGCGCCAGACAAGTTAGGGGCGCAAAAAGTTGATTCGATATTATTTTATTGATGAAAATAATGGGTTTGAGAGTTGAAGAAAGAAAGGGGGGGGGGGCACTTTAAAATAAATATTTTCCCCGGGCGCCAAACACTCTAGCTACGCCTCTGTGAGGAACTCATCAATCATCTGCCGGTAAGAGGTACTCTTTGAATGCTGCAATCAAGATGGCGGGATCACGTGTTCTTCATTGGATCACATTCGCCCCATGCATGTCCGTAAAGTGGATGCACGCGTTAATCCAGAGATAATATCTACAGCCGGGGCGCTCTGATAGGTCAACCCGGCCTCACATTCACCAGCGCCTCAATTTCACACAGCTAACCCACGACACCTCACCAGGGCACGACACCTCACCAGGGCACGACACCTCACCAGGGCACGACACCTCACCAGGGCACGACACCTCACCAGGGCACGACACCTCACCAGGGCACGCCACCTCACCA